ATTAGAGTTTATGTTGGTTGGTTGTTTGGATGTTTTAGGTGTTGATTTTGATGTTAGAGATGAGAAATCATAGTTATTCATGAGATATGGAAGTTGATTTATAAGTATTTTAGTATTTTATAGGTTTTTTGAATTATGAATGGAGTATGTATGGTGTATTTGTTGATTTTGTTATTAAGAAATGATTGGATATTGATTTTTTTTTAAACAGTTATCAATGGCACGTAATGTATCATACAAGCTTAATTTGTTTCATACAAGCAAGTATGTGATAGAGAATGGTAGCATCAACACTTTTTCGAATATGCCGGATAATGGTTTGTTTGTTGAGGAAAGGTTGTCATATGAGGGATTGATTAGTAAGATTTGTATGACACTTGATTGAGATCCAGCACACGTGAAACTCCATATTTCTTTGATATTCGATAGTCCCGGTGGCAGGCGTGTAGTGAAGATCAAGAATTATTCGCATGTAGAGTTCATGAACCGTGTAGATCCAATGTCATGTTTGGATTTATACATAGATTTAGAAGATATCACTCACGAAGAAAGAGAAGCGAGTTTGGAAAATAACGTGTCATTTGGTGGTTCCCCAAGAGGGGATCGTGATAGTACTTCCCGAAATCGTGATGAAAAGGAGACACCTTTATTTGCACAAGATGACTACCGAGAAGAGTCGGATCCCGACTACATAGCTCCAAGTGAAAGCGAAGAAGACTATGATGTCTCCGGAGAGAATGATTTTGAAGAAAGTGATGATGAAAGGTTGGAAAATGAGGAAAGGGATTGTAATCCATTGCTCCGACGCCATGTATATAGTAAGATGGGAAAATGGGATGCCTCATGTGTAGATAAGGATGAGTTTGCTCTTAAGATGTGGGATGAGATGCCCGAAGGAATGGAGATTGGTGTTTGTTTCAAATCTCAATCAGAATCAAAGCATGCTGTGAAATTATGGAACATCCATCATAAAAGAGAATATACGATCGCCGGGAGTAGTCCAACGACGTGGGCTGTGCGGTGCAGAACATAAAATGTGGAAAGTGAGGATGGTGAACCACCATGTGAGTAGAAGATGCGTGTCTCTTTGAAAGCTCACGGCCTTCATGAAATTGTGAGATGGCATGATGCATATAATTGCATGACTCCCGTGAATGATAATGACAATCGGTGTGTGGATGCGTCTTTGATTGCTAGACCCATCAGGAGAAAGTTTGAGGATAACGTAGATTATACGGTATCTTCGGCACAGAAAGATGTGAAGACATTATTGAAAGTAGATGTGCCATACAAAAGGGCGTGGCACGGGAGGAGGAAAGCCATAGAAGCGGTCTATGGTGATTGGACCTTGAATTTCGAAGAACTTCCACGGTAAATATCAACTTTTATCCGTGTATTGAAATATTTTTAGTGTTTTTTTTTTACATGTATTGAAATATTATAACTATGACTTGTTTGTTGTGTAGGTATATCGTTGCACTTAAGTTTACTAATCCTGAGACTGTAGTAGAGTGGGAATGGAAGGAGGGACAAGAAGGTTGGAACAAGGGAAATAGGACATTTAAATACGTCTTCTGGTCATTTGCACCAGTGGCTGCGACGTTTCTTGAATGTCCACCGGTTATTTGTATCGATGGAACCTTCTTGCGTAGTGGATACAAGGGTAAATTGCTTGTTGCGGTGGTATACACCACAAACAAGCACATTTTACTGGTTACATTTGCGATTGTGGATGAGGGGACAGTAGAGAGTTGGACATTTTTTATAAGGAACTTGAGGTTGTGGGTTGTGCATGTAAGAATCGTAAGTGTGATATCCGACCGGAATGTAGGGTTGTTGAGCGCAATGTCACAGATGGATGAATGGTGTGATTTAGGCGATGGTGGCCACTTTCTTTGCCTCCGCCACGTTCGCAGCAATCTTGTGTCGCGATATAATAGAAAAAAGGTGAAGCGGGTATGTTGTAAGATGGGCACGACGCTTTCAAGAGTGAAATACAACCGTATGAGGGCAGAACTTATTAAATTCAAGCCTGCTGCATGGGAGTATCTTCGAGGGATTGGAGGGAGTAACTGGGCTCGATTGAAAGCTGGTCTTCGTCGTTGGGGTATAGTGACAACCAACATTTCTGAGAGTTACAACAATGCATTGAAAGGGATCCAGTTTTTACCAATTAAGAGCCTTGATCGATGCAACCTCTTGCAAAACTTTGAAATTCTACAGAGAAGAACAATTGTCTGCGAGAAATTGCATGACACCGATCCCTCCTGAGTTATGGAAAAAATACGAGAAATGAACGAAAAAGCAGCCAGTTTTGAAGCCACCCCTTTTGATGGTGATGATACTATGTGGCGGGTTATTACTGCAACACGGCTAAGTGGCAGGGGTGGGTCTTTGCATACGCTGAACTACGATGAACATAGGTGTTCGTGCAGGAAGTGGCAAGAGTATCGGATGCCTTGTACGCACGCACTCCAAGTTTACTGGAGAAAAAGGGATCGGCCTATTGATCTATACCATAGTGTGTGGCGCCTTCCAGCGTGACGCAGACAATTTGATTACACGGGCTTTGTTCTGGTTCCCGATGAAGAACAATGGCCGACGGTCAATTAGAACATCATTCCGAATTATGAGGCTCTTGTGTTGCATGCGGGACCGGGACGAAGACAAAAAAAGAGACATAGCATGCAAATAGGTTACAGGGGATGCCGGAGCCGGGGGAATGTTGGAGATGTGGACAACAAGGACTTGATGTCAATTCTTGTCCTAACTCGCACCCAGGAGTAGATAGAAGACCTGTGAATGACAGCTGGAATTGAGAGTCATTTAGTGTTCTTGCAAGTTATTTGGAATGACAACTGTTTAAATAGATGTTCTATAAATATTTGTATTGATAAATTCGGATTGTAATGTTAACATTGAATTGTTCGGATTGTAATGTTAACATTAAATTGTTGGTGTTGGTGCTGTGATTATGATGAAATAGATACTAGTTGTTCATAACAGGTTTTCGGATTGTGCAAAAAACAAAAATGCTCATTTTAAGGTTTTGTAAAGGATTCGGATTGCCGAAATCTGAAAGTACGCGTTTTGTATTATGTCCGGATTTCAAAAATCCGAAACATGACCGATTTCCTGCAGCAAAGAATTCGGATTTCCGAAATCCAGGTTTATGCATTTTGTACTACGTTCGGATTTCGGTAATCCGAATTGAGGAAAGCATCTGAGAGTGTGCAATTTCAGGAGAAACAGGGGAGATTCAGATTTCTAAAATCCAAATCCTAGCCGATATTCTGCACCAAAGGTTTCGGATTTCGGTAATCCGAATTGAGGAAAGCATCTGAGAGTGTGCAATTTCAGGAGAAACAGGGGAGATTCGTATTTTTGAAATCTGAATCCTAGCCGATTTCCCGCACCAAAGGTTTCGGATTTCGGTAATCCGAATTGAGGAAATCATCCGAGAGTGTGGATTTTCAGGAGAAACAAGGGAGATTCGGATTTCGAAAATCCAGAAGTTGTGTGTTCGGATTTCAGAAATCCGAGTTTAACAGGACTATATACAGCCGGTCAACTCTTTCTCCTCCCATTTTTTCCCCAATTCCCGGTTTACAAAAACCTAAAACTAAACCCTCGGCGAATCCCTCCATTCTTCCCGGCGACTTTCTCCATTCCTCCCGGCGACTTCCTCCATTCTTCCCGGCGACTCCCTCCACTCCTCCCGGCGACTCCATTTAAATACTCCCGGTAAGTTTTTTTCAACTGTTTAATTTTCTGGTTTTCAAATTTTTTTTTAACAAATCCGAATTTCATGTTTTTTTTTTCGCCAAATGTGTATTGTTGTAGTGTGTGAATTTTGAATTGGTTTGTGTTAGATTTGATTAGTGTAGCTATTTGATTATTGTAGTGGTTGAATGGCGGAGTGTTATGGTTATTTCTTTTGTGTTATAGTGTTAGTGTTATGGTTATTTGATTAGTGTAGTGTTGAATTCGTTTGGCCAAATAATGAGTTGGGTAGTGTTGGAATGGCGGAGTGTTATGGTTATTTCTTTTGTGTTATAGTGTTAGTGTTATGGTTATTTGATTAGTGTAAGGCCGAATTCGTTTGGCCAAACTAATGAGTTTGATATTGTGTATTAGTTTGGTTTGTGTTAAATTTTTGGCCAAATAATGAGTTAGGGCATTGATGTTTTGGTGTTAGTTGATATTATATATTGTGTGTTAGTTTGGTGTTAGTTGATCAATGTATATACATAACTATATAGTGTTAGTTGTATCAGTATTAGTTGTTTTGATATTGTGTATTAGTTTGGTTTGTGTTGAATTTGGCCAAATAATGAGTTATGGCATTGATGTTTTCTTTGGTTACCTTGTGTAGGATTGAAATGGCGGAGGAGGCATCGGGCTCGCAATATGAATGTCAACCTAAACATTTTAACCTGGGACCGATTCAAGATAAAATGCTATATCGTCAAACAAAGCATAGGTCCCAAGCTGTCTATGAGAATAAGATGCCGGACATTAAAACATTCCGCCTCAAGGGCCGTAGATACGACTACGATTTTTGGGGGATATAAAAAAATACGGCACCGGAGGTTAAGGAAGTCATTAAGAGAGCCGGTTTTGAGGGGATAATGAAAGTAGGCTACAAAAAAGTGGATCTTGGTCTCATTACCGCGTTGGTGGAACGGTGGAGGCCAGAAACCCACACTTTCCATTTCAATTTCGGAGAGGCGACTGTGACACTACAGGATGTCGAGGTCCTCTTTGGTATTTGGGTGGATGGTGACCCGGTGTACGGGACGACAATTAGCAGGAGTGCAGATGAATGGCGGGATCGATGTGAGACTTATTTGGGATTCCGGCCAGCCCAAGTAAATGGCGAATGTGTCAATGTTGGTATTTTCGAAGATGAGATGGGCCGTGCACTCCTTGAGAATTCCACAGTCCAACGATTCGAGCAAAGGGCCCGGACACTTATACTGCATTTTATTAGCAGTTTCATGTTTCCTAACAAGACGCAAAATACTGTCAATCTTCAGTTCTTGGCCCAGGTTGAGGATTTGGATCAGTGTAGTCGATATAATTGGGGATCGGCACTGCTGGCTGGTTTGTACTCTGGACTGAACGAGACATCACAGTACACCGTGCACGACGCCACTGGCTGTCCATATTTGCTACAGGTACGTATTAGCAGCACCCCACCTTTTAGAGATCAATTAACAAGCCTGCGTGTTGAAGATGTAAGTACTTAATTTGGTATTTATATTTACTTTGAATTTTCTTTCGTTCCAGTTATACCATCTAAATAAATTCTTTTTTTCGTGCAGTTTCGGTGGCAACCATATGCAAAGGTCCTTCATAGACTCCCTGATTTCTGTAAACAAGGTCAAGCCATTTGGACGACCAGGTGTTGGATGTTCTGTTGGGCTATTAGGGAACCCCACGAGTCATGCAGAGTTGTGAGACAATTTAGATACATACAGGATGTTCCTAAGCGCCCTATGATTGAAGATAACGCACATTTCTTTTCGATCACGCCCACAGTATGTCTGGGTATCCTAGGAACAATTGGGTGGATCACCATTCCGCAGTACGTCGTCATTGGAATGGGAGAGAAAAATACGTGCTACCAGATTTGGAGGAAGGAGACCCTGGCTCCGTATATGAGGGGTACTATGAATGGTTCACGGTGAACACTGTCAGGCTGATATCCAATCCCAAAAATTATGAACCTCAAGGATACGAGATTTCTTCGAGCCGAGTAAAATTATATGTGAGTTCATTCTATATTTTTTTTTATTTCTTATGTTTTCCTTTTATTTTTTTTTAATGTTTTTTTTTAATCTTACTCTTTTAATTAACGTCCCAATTTCTTTTCAAGGTGAAGTATTGCACAACATTCGCGTGAGTTCTGAGAAGTTTAGAGAAAAACGAGAAGAAGAGAATCTCCTAGATGAAGAACTCGACAAGCATTTGGACGACATCATCAATCAAACACATGCTGCTTTAACCCTGGGTGCAAATGATGAGATGGACATAGAGGATACCCAAATCCTGGTTGATGAAGAACCATCTTTGCCCTCACAACCTGCGCCAGGTAAAAAAGCGAAACCGTGGTCGAAAAATAAGATTAGAGAAGGAAGAAAGAGAAAGGTCTCAATCCCCCCTCGGACATCGCAACAACAAACTGAGGGTCAACAAAATGAGGATCAAGCACATTCTTCTCGAGGCTCGCGCATACAGGTTGAGACTCAATTTGAAGACATTGGTGGACCCGAGACTCAGTTTGACCTTGGTGGACCCGAGACTCAGTTTGGTGGACAGTCACAACCACAACCAGGAGTCAAATTTCTCATCATGTGGGAGTCCCAATCCCAACCCCAACCCGAGCCTCAGTTTGGGGGACAGTCACAACCACAACAGAGTTCAATACTCACGTATCTTAAGAGGGAGACAAGATTCAGCAGCGCCCAAATAAATACACTCCCCCTGCGCATAATAAAGGAAAAGAGAAAAAATGAGACCTTTGATGTATTTTGCACATTTAAAGTAGTTTTTGTATTGATTTTGGTTTAAAATTTGATTTGTTTTGTTGTTAATCAAATGCTGTTTATTGTTTTGTTGCCATTAAATTTCTGTCTTCCAATGTTTCATTGTTATCGGTACTGTAAACAGGTTTTGAACTCGTTAAAACCAGTCTAATTTTTTTTTTCAGTTCTGACATAGACTCGGATTTACGAAATCCGAACCCAGAGTTTTTATAAAGGATTCGGATTTCGCAAATCCGAATATGTAGCCAACTAGGAATTAGCATTTTGCAGAAAACAGAGGAGATTCGGATTACGGTAATCCGAATCGGTATTCATTCGGATTACCGTGATTGGGGTTTTTCCAAATTTAATTTTTCAACACATATTTTATTTTCTATCTGGAAATTAATATTTATTTGTATTTGGAAAATTCGGATTTAGATTAATTACACTAATTTCTGTCATTAACTTAATATTGGATTTATATAACACAAATTCAGATTTCTCTCATCCGAATTTAGAGGGGTTCGGATTTCGGAAATCCGAGTTTACCCCCATTCGGATTTTCAAAATCCAGGACATATAAGTTTGTCCACAATTTTTGGAAGGTTTATTTTTATTCTAGTATATATAAGGAAATATATTTAAAGAAAAAATTCCTAATAATCAGCGTCATTTTTACATGTCGAGAGGAAATTTTCACGTTTACTGCGTGTTCTTGACTTAGCTTTCCTTCGTCTGGTCTGGTATCTCTCATGGCAGATTACCTCGCAGATATTACTGCAATTCCTGGTCTTAAGGAGACCAGGGAGTATATTTTGCTTAGCCGTAAGAGGTGGATTGCTATGGAAGCGATAGAATCTTTTGCCCAAGAACTTGAAGGTCTGGAGCGTAGAAGAAAAATGGCAATTCACCTTTACGCAAAAACAAAATACGACAAGGGGCTTGACATATGGAAAACTGAGACTAAGCATTTACTCGAAGAACTTGAGGAGATCTATAAACTTGGAAAAGATTTGAGGAATAGCTGCCAGCATATCTACAGATACATTCCAAGAGCTGTTGAAGTGGACAATCTTGTTGCTACTCTCAGAAGCCTTAACGAGTTAATTCTTACCCATGGAGAGGAAGTGGCGGCGATTGCCCAATTAATGGACTCTCTGGATGGTTGGGACCCGAAGATCAGAGTCTTTACCAGTACTGACCACATTCCTCGTCAAACTCCGACAGGAAGGATGATTAAACTTGCAATTGAGTAAGTAGTGGTTTTAATTTGTTTAGTTTTATGATTTATTTTGGTGGAATTATTGATCTATGCACTGCTGTGTTACAGATACACTTCTGGACCGATGGCCCCCACGGGATCCGCCAATGAACAAGACGAGGTTTCTTTGTTTCCTCTTCCTCTTACTTAATTTTTTGGGTCTCGCTTTTGAGTGTTTCTTGTTGCTGCTTGTCTGAAATCTGCATATTTTGTCAATTTATTTGTCCATTTTTTAGATTGTGGGCTTTGTCCTGGATCTTTCTTTAGTGGTTGTTTTCTTAATGGAATCGAGATTTTAGCTGTTCTTCTTGTCTTCCAGGTTGCTTGTTGACATCATGTTATCTGGTTGTAGCTCTGTAATGCCTTCATATTTGTTTGAGTAGTGGAAGGAGTTTCAGTATAGTATGATGTTATCGTCACTACTTTGAGAGATTTTACCCTCTTAACTCCAGAAATAAGATAAAGGAGCAACCCTGTTCAACCCTTGTTTCATTTTTGGACTGTGTTACATGATATAGGAGCTTAGCGTTGATACGCCCGGAATTAAAATCAATCAAAACATGGTCAGGATCTAAAGCAAGGCAAAGTATTACTTGGCTCTGTTGAAATTACTGGAGTGAATTTGGCAAATTGTGGAAGGGCAGTATGCCTTGCTTTCCTCTCGATCTGAATTGAGCTTGAATTGCGTATCAAACACATCAAGGAAAGAGCTCGCCAGTGTGTCAGAGATGATCAATTTGCATGGTGCTCTTACATTAGTAGACATTAGTAGTATTTATTTCATAGTCTAGAAATTGAGAGAGTCTTTGAAATCTTAACTACAACTGGGATCCAACCTGTTTTCTCGTACTGTTTTATAATGAAAATTGAAAAGAGGCATTCTCTAAATGCATAATATATTCCCTTGGTCATTGTTGTGTTCTACTCTCAAGGCCAGAGCCCTTAACCCTTGTGTGCATGTAGTCTTCATGTGTTATATTTATTTGGGATGCGCATGTGTTCTCTGCCTACTTTTTTGTTTTCTTTTTCATTGCTTGTAGTTCTTTTTCCCTTGGTCCTCTGTTTGATTGCCCTTTGAGAAGGTTTATGTTGCTGCATTATATGCATGGCCGCAAAAGTGAATGTTGTAGTAACAGGAGTGAAATTTATGTATGAAATTCTCTTGTTTATGAAGTGTAACTATAAAATTCTGTACTGTGATTGAGGTGCTAATTGTGCTTTTGCTTTTGGTAGGTTGCAGTCTTACGGAGGTGGAAAGAAAGGCTTCTTCAAAGTATTGGCCGGAGTTTCTTAGGTTGGTTGATTACAGCTTTCAGCATCATAAATATCATAAGCTTTCAAACCATTTCATTTATGTTTTGATGATTTCTTGCTATCAGGACACATGACGCCTCTTGTAAAGTTTTACTTCGTTGGACTTGGATCTGCGGGTGGTGTGGTGAAGAACGTTTTAACACCTGTTGCTGGAGAAAATTCGTGTTTTAGTCTAACTGAAGGGTCTCCCAGTATTTTGAAGTTCAAATTCTATGTTCGCCATAATCTTGTCTTCGGCCTCAACTATAGAAATACCTTTTTGATTGGTGGAGTAAAAGGTTAGCACCTTGACAGTATTTACCCTTTCTACTATCTATCTTAGGAAAGCTCACTATGAATAATACTAAGATTCGCCTATTAGAGCAAAACTTTTAATCAGCTCCTGAATCTTTTAATGTTCTTGTCTGGATGACATAATTTGTGATATTTTGCATCTACCATGAATTGAATGCTCATTCTTAGGAGAAATTTGTCTTAGCAACTTTTTATAGCTGAGATATTTTAGTTATAATGTCAAAGTAGTGCATCAGTAGAACAATATGATATGTGTCACATGGTATGGAATATTGTTGAGAATGGTTTGGTGATTTATCATGATGTTAGATATTATGATGATTACTTCTGTTGATTACTTATTGTTTTTCTTCTTTTATTCCACTGCTAAAGTTAGAATGCGAATGTATTGTCTAATGGGATTTGATTGTTGAAGAACATTAAATTTTGAATCCTTCTGCTATAAGGAGATTTTGATGTAGAAAACGTTTGTTGCATGTTAAGGAAACAAAATTACACTGGTGAAGAATTGGTGGCCAAATAGTTAATCACTTACCTAAATGAACATACATGTTTGATTTCAGAGGCTGGAGTTAGCACTTTAATTTCATTTTTGAGATGTTAAGTATACATTATGAAACCAAAAGGTTGAAATTGAGTGATGAGAATCAGGCATGGGTAAAACTGTGTGTTTTGATGTTGTTTGCACTTTTTTGAGTGAGGCTGATTTTGTGTTCTGGCCTGGTATGTTACGTTTGTCGCTGTAGTGCGGGCTTTGCTTTGATATGAATTTCATGGTCTTTGGTCTTGGCATGTTATAAATTGCTAAAGTGTCACTTCATATTTAAAAATGTCTGAATGATTGAAAATCACATGCATATGGTAAAATCTCCTTCAAAACAATGTCATTACATCTAGATTGTAAGATTTTCAATTACGGACTGTTTTACTTTTCCCCTTTTCCTTGTCCTCCGAATAACCATTGTGAACTTTCTTGTATTTGTGACTGAGTCTACTGGGAATCTTAGAGCACATACAATAAAAGAACTATGAATGCTCGGAGATTATTTAGGATTTAGTACTTTAGGTTGCCTACCAAGTTCAATAACAAACTTGGTCTTGCCAGTTTGCTCAATTCAGATAGTAATTTTGGGTTTTAGCCATGAATCAGGAAACAAGAGTTATTTAATTTTGGAATACATTTCGGGAAACTGAGGAGTTTTTTTCTCTCCAGTTTTGATCAAGGACGTTTGTACTGTAAACAATTAATGGGTGAAAAAGAACTCATTTGCATGTTGAGAGACACTAAAAAATCGAAAAGACGATATAAGAAGGGAGTAGATCCTATCTGTCAGCTGTGTCTGTATCAGCAGTCAAACTTCTTGAGAACTGCATTAGAAGCAGGGTTTTGATATTGGAACTTAGGTAAAGAAGTTGTATGTAGCCATGGCTTTCAATTCATTCTAACTTCGAAGTATGGTATAAATTTGATTCAGTTTGCTTTCTACTGGTTTATTTTTCTTATATCTAAAGCATTTCATAATACATTTCAGTTGCGACTTAGGGGGGGGCTTGGTGTGTATGCTCCTTAAGTAGAAGCATTTATATTGGAAGAGAACATGCCATGCAGTGCACTTGGAAAGGGAACTTTTCCCGCTAAACTTTTGGTTGGTACCCAGTTAAATTGATCTATTTAATGCATTCATGTAACTTGATGGATTATTGTTCCGACTTTACTGCATCCCCTCCCACCTCCCCCCTCCTCCCTCCCCCCCTTTGGTGGTTCAGGTTAAAGATGATGAGCGACGGTGCCACTTCGAGTTTGACTACTATTTGGAATTGAAGTGAAGCGGCTTTGTCTATTTTGCGGTACCTGTTCATGTTATCTCCTCAGTTGAAGGGCGTTAAACTCCTGGAACTTGTAAGCAAAGTAAATTGTGCCCTACCTGTTCATTTCTACTTAGAACAGCTATTAGTATATATTAGAGAGAATTCATCGCAATTGCTCATGTCAGCTTGGCTCATGCGCCAACATGCAAGCTTGGTGTGTATGCATTTGCGCATGCTTTGAATCTGTTTGTGCCTAAAGGTGACACGTGTATACTGGAAATGGGAAGTTTATGCATGCCTTATAGATAGAAAAGGAAGCACAGAGAGAACATTATATCATGTCAACACATTTTTGCTACAAGAAATTTTGTTAGTCTGGTTGGTTTTTAGCTAGGAATCTTAGTAGACCATGAATAGAACACCGATCCACACAAAAATGCTGACACGGGGAACGACTTAAATCTTGAAGCAATTGTACAATCTGCCAAGGAAGACACATTCTGCTACAGCAGACAGATTCAAATACTAAGCTAAGGAAAACACAATCTGCCAAACAAGCGATTGTGCAAGATGTCAAAAAATAAATCTAGTGTTTTAATACGTACTTTAAATCACTTCCCCGATGACTTTGAACATCTTCATAAAAGGTGATGCAATTCACTCGAGGTGACCTTGTCATGCCAGGAATCATATCAGTTTCATGTATGTGTTCTACATTGAGATCAGCTTGTACATCGGATCCATCATGCTTTGACTGCAACAGAAGGAGAACTGTAAGAAACAAGGCCTGAGGACTCTCTCTATTTATTTGCCAAACCTAAACACTTAGGGGTATTACTGCCTCATTGGACAGTCTTCCTAACTTCCCTCATTTCAGATTTGGTTTTTTTTTCTTTTTAGCTCATTTTAACCGCCTACCATTCCCCTTTCCCATGGTTTTTAGGCTTTTACAGACCGCCATGGGCTCTTACAGAGTCTGCCATGATGTGAAGGGCTGCCTTAGTCTTCACTCAGGTTTACAGTCCCTCCAGACGTCAGACAAGTGGACTCCAGTATAAAATCACCACAATGTAATTAAGGCATTTAGATTTTAACATTAAACTCAGAACTCTAACTTTGGCAAGTGACATAGTGTGCTCGAGAAAGTGAAGAACGATGGGACTGACTTCAAGAACAAAGACAAACACTTAACATGCAATTCAACTGTAATCAGAAAAATCATCTTATAATAGTAGACTCAATCTATCCTAAGGACTCTAGATGCATAGACTCAAAACAGAAAAACAAAAAAAACAGACCTAATTAAAAGAAGTTAAAAGAAAAGAAAAAGAAAAGATCAGAGGACTCCCCTGGGTGATCAGGGGTCCATCCCTTGAAAGGGATGCGGTGGACTGTTATCCATCTCTTTGCAGGAGTTGGAGCATTCCAATTTACTATGAATGTGCTTGAGCTTCCTATTGATCCGTTGGAATTCCTCACAGATGTAATTGAGCATATAGCTCTACAGCTTGGAAAAATCATTTCTTCTACAATGTGGTACTCGTGCTGGCTCATCGTAATGCTTGGCAGGTGGCTCCCTTACTAATGTCTTATAACTCCAAAGTGCTGGTATAGGCAATTGTATATCCTCTAGAGTGAATGTCACACCAGACCTGGTCATCAACATTGTTACCAGTACAGGCAGGTACCAGCTTTTAACTTTAATATCAGTGATGCATTGTGTCAATTGCTGCCTCAGAATGGTGCCCAGATCAATTGGAGTGGAGGACTTAATGGCATAAATTAGTACCGCCACTTCATAGGTCACTCTTGTGGTGTACCTTGTAGGCATGATGTTGGAGCAGATGAAGTGGAGCCACAATTTGTTTTCTGGAAGGGGCTTGCTGTAAGGAAAATGGTAAGGGATTCCCTTTTTTGTGAGTTCCCACCTCAAGTTGCCGTCCTCATCTTCACAGAGCTCGTTGAGGAGGACATCTGCTAAGCTTCTCTCTTTGTGCAGATTTGTCAGTGCCTTCTCTAGGTCTATTTCCACCATTGGCAAGCTCCATGCGGTTCTGATTGCGGCGAGGCTGATGTCCACATTTCTTCCTTTCACATACACCACATCTCCTTCTGCCTCTGTCAGATTGCTGTAAAATTCCCTTACTACATTCATCCTCAGCACCATTAGAAGATTAGTCAGTCTTGTCCACCTATATAGCAAGATGTACAGTGCCGGTGCACTCTCAGTGTCCACTCCTCTTTCCACTATCACTGGCCGATTCCTGGTTCTTTCAAAGAAATTCCAGGTAGCCTCAGAAACGAACAATGCATGATTGAATTTGGTCCTCAATGCTTTCAGTGCAGCCTTTTGTTGAATGACTGGTGGTTGTGGGAGTGGCGCAGGTGCTTCTTGCATAACCCCAAAGCCTAGCTTTTTATTGTTTATCTTTCTGGCTGCTACTTTCTACCTGGGGGCCATGGATTCAAGATCGTCGAGACGACTCATATGCATTTCTCCTGAACTCCTCTATTTCATTTAATTGTAACAATCTTCTGCTTAGTACAACCTCTGTTTCATAGTTGAGTACTTTGATATCCCAGAAAGCCTTGTGCTCCAACTCAACAGGTAAGTGACAAGCCTTTCCATAGATCATTTTGAAAGGAGACATGCCTACGGGTGTCTTGTAAGCTGTTCTATAGGCCCATAGAGCATCATCGAGCCTGAATGACCAATCCCTCCTGGTACTGCACACGACCTTCTCCAATATTCTCTTAATTTCTCTGTTGGATACTTCAGCCTGACCATTTGTTTGAGGGTGATATGCAGTGGACATTCTATGATGAATGCTGAACTTTTGTACAAGAGCCGAAAATTGTTTGTTGCAGAAATGCGATCCTTTGTCACTAACGATTACTCTAGGAATTCCAAATCTAGCGAAGATATTCTTTTTCAAGAACTTAATCACTTTTTGGAATCGCTAGACTTGACGGCTACTGGTTCTACCTATTTGGACACGTAGTCTATGCCAGAAGGATACAGGTGTTGTTGTTTGAGGGGACAAATGGACCCATGAAGTCGATTCCCCAAACATCAAACAATTCCACTTCTAACATCATTTGCTGAGGCAGTTTATTTCTCCATTACAAATTTTCTGATCTCTGGCATTTATCACAACCTTAACAAACTTGTTAGTATCA